ATTTCATTACATTGACCCCAGGGTCCACCAATCCTTAATTAAACCTAGATCTACTGATTTCACTACATTGACCCCGTAGTCCTCCAATCCTTAATTAAACCTATATCTACTTATAATTTCACTACTTTGACCACGGGCTCCGCCAGTCCTATTATAAAATAAACTTAGATCTACTTATTTCATTATGTTGACCCCAGGGTCCACCGATCCTTAGTTAAACCTAGATCTACTTATTTCACTACGCTGACTCCGGGGTTCACATCCTAAAACCTAACATTTTGTTAGGTAGACCCCGGGGTCCACCTATCCTTTTGGCTAGATAGACCCCGTAGTCCGCCTATCCACTTTCTTGATAATAACTGAAAACAATACATGCCAGTTGTCATTTATAGTGAAGAAAAATGAGGAGAAAAAAATATAATTAGGTAGACTTTAATTTGTCCAAAAAATTGCAAGTGCAAGTGAAGATCATAAAATAATTTTGTTATTTTCTGGTCACCTTTCCAAGGACCTTAAATTGATTCTACATCACATGTCATGTACGATACGGCTGTGAAGGAAAATGGATGTGAAGAGTTTTTAAGAAATAATAATGTAACTTGTAAAGAAAACAATGCTTTACATTGGTTTGGTTATTTTGACAACATATATGTGGCCTAAATAAGGTAAGGGAGGGGGGTTTAGCTTATTTAGGCCACAGGTGTGGCCTAAATAAGGTAAGGGAGGGGGGTTTAGCTTATTCAGGAAACAGGTGTGGCCTGAATAAGGTAAGGGAGGGGGGTTTAGCTTATTTAGGCCACCTGTGGCCCAAATAAGGTAAGGGAGGGGGGTTTAGCTTATTTAGGCCATATGTGGCCTAAATAAGGTCACCCTATATATATATAATATACGTTGCATGTATATTATGCATTATGTATACCTAAATAATATATCAGTGTCTGTAGTGCTGCACTTGGCGCTTCTGTCGCACACCCAGGAACAGATGCAAGCAAAGACTTCAGTATTAAACAGCCTATCGGAGTCTGTTGGATTGAGGATCCACCCCGGAAAGTCAAAGATCCTAAGGACAGATGCACAACGAAAGGAGCAGTTCACAGTGGAAGGAAAGGCCCTAGAAAACGTTGAATCCTTCTGCTATCTTGGGAGCAAAATTGACAGAGAGGGAGGAACAGGTGCTGAAATAAAGTCCCGCATTGGAAAAACACAGGCTGCTTTCATATCTTTGGATAGGATTTGGAAGACCAGAGATATCTCACTTCGAACAAAGCTGAGGATTTTCAATTCAAACGTGAAGTCGGTTCTGTTGTATGGATGTGAGACATGGAATGCATCACAGACTTGCTTAAAGAGGATCTACGTTTTCTTGAACAAGTGTCTAAGACAGTTACTGAGGATCAGATGGACAGGCAGGGTCACCAGTGTGGAAGTGTTAAGGAAAACAAGACAGTTCCCAGTCAGAGATGAGGTAGGAAGAAGGCGGTGGCGATGGATTGGACATACTTTCAGGAAGTCAAGAAGCTGTATAACAAAGAAAGTTTTGGATTAGAACCCACAGGGCAAGACATCAAGGGGAAGACCTCGTAGAACCTGGAGAAGAATCACAGAAATCGATGTACAGAAAAGTGGGAAAACATGAAATAACATCAAGAGGCTAGCCCAGGATAGAGAAAAGTGGAGGGTGTTTGTCCGTGGCCTATACCCTGGTGCAGGGTGAGAAAGGCAATGATGATGATGATGTGGTGTTGCGGTTATGCGCTTTTCCATTGCACGTAGAGGACCCAAGTTCGATTCCCAAGTAGAGAGAATCTTTATAGGGTAACTCGGTCTTTCTTCTGGGATGTTGTTTCCTAATCAGCTAAGGTTGGCCCTGATAAGCAGGATCGAGAGTTTGCCTTCTACTAAATGATCCAAGTTGTGTTAACGGAGGCGTAAAACACCTATTTTTCAAAATGTAAATAATATGTATGTATATAGAAAGAAACGTAACACGTACACATACAGAGAAAGAGAGAGAGAGAAAGAGAGAGAGAGAGAGAGAGAGAGAGAGTGAGAGAGAGAGACAGACAGACAGAGACAGAGACAGAGAGACAGAGCGAGAGAGGGGAGGGACAAAAGAGAGAGAGAAAGGGTCATGGTAGAGAGAGGGAAAGGGAGAGAAGGAGATGGGGCAGAGTCAAGTACCATCCTCCCATTTCTCCGTTTTTACTCTCCTTCTCTAAAGCACTCGCTGTTGCTATAGAGCAACATTTCGTTGGTTTAGCTCACAAGCACAGTGAGATCATAATATAATACTCTATTGATGAGATCAGAATGATGAAAAAAACCCTGAACCAGGGCTACTTGTAGTGTAAGCTATTTAGTTTACATTGAAAGGCATGGTCACTTTTCCTAAAGAGCCTCAATCCGTCATTCCGCGTGTTTTCTTCTACTCATCCGTACCCCATGTCACCCAACCATGGAAGAGAACCGGACATTGAATGCATCTGGAATGCACGCTCAGATGTTTGTACGTATAACGAGGGCTTCTTATTAAGGACCCAAAAGTGCCACCGTTTTTCTGATAGGTCATACTCATACTGTACATGCTATTGCAAAAATGATCTACAATAAGCACATGTCATGTCACTCTGACCGACTTGCAGGACAAACTGTTACATTAGGTCGTAGGTCGCTTGAATATCTGTTTCATGCGTATGGGATGATTTGTTAAAATGAATGAGAAAAAGAGACCACGGATTCCAATGCAATACACTTTGTAATGTGTAAGTCTCACCAGGACTACACTTTTCAACACTACAACTACAGGTATATGAGTAGCAAGCAAGAAATTTAACAAGGACCACTAAACAAATTTTAGACATTGGACAACGCAAAGCGTCGGTGGCCTAGTGGTTAGGCTCTCGGACTCGCAACCGTAAGGTCGTGGGTTCAAATACCGTCAGGGACCCGACGTTGTATCCTTGGGAAAGGCACTTTACACGAATTTTCCTCACTTCACCCAGGTGGGAATGGGTACCCAGCTATAGACATCGAAAGATCTTGTCAGTTTGTTAGTGTTTAGGCGCTTAATCAGCTGCTTGCACTGTATGCTTCCCGGGAAGCTGAGAATGTTTCGGAGTGTTCTATGGTCTGCTGGGGTAATAATATAGTGTAAAGTGCATAGAGCCTGCTGTTGAGCGGGGATATGTGCTATACAAATGCTATCTATTATTATTATTATTACAATATATAAGCAAAACTATACTTTACTGGTCCAGCACTAAACACACACAAATACATTATTGCAACACATCATTCCCACACCCCCCCCCCACCCCACCTCCCTCTCTTCTTTCTCTCTCTCTCTCTTCTCTTCTTTCTTTCTATCTCTCTCTCCTCTCTTCCCCCCCCCCCCCCTCTCTCTCTTTCTCCTTCACTACTTACATAATAATGACACGCATCATGATAATTGTAAGGACAAACATTGAAAATAAACATGAAATGAAATATGACTATGAGAGTAAAAACGACTTCTTAGATCGTACAATACATGCAAAGAGGGAAACTTAGCCTAGATTTACCTGTCTGTAACCTACAAAAAAAAAATGATGGGTCAGAAAGAGGATAATGTGTTGTCAAATACAAAAGCAAATAAGACGGTTTCATCAGTGGCAGTTCTTCAAACGACTCTCTAATCGAAAGAAGAAATGACGGTGATCGTAAAGTACTGTTGGAGACCATAATAATATACCGCACGGCATTCACAACTGAGTGTTGACGTCATATAATATTATTTTTAGTGACGGGGGTTTCGTTTTGTTCATGACAACCCAAAATGTACAAAAAGAGGAGCCCTATATCTTGCGTATATATGTGCTCAACTCTCAGAAATACATAAACCTTGATGGTCTGGATCGTTTATTGTCTTGAAAGAAAAAAAGCTTGGGAGCACAACGATACTAAACATATTAGGGTGACACGAAGACACAGGGTTTTTGTCACATTCCTATTATGGGCTAATTTGAAGAAAACGCGCCAACTTTTGAATAGGGTGCCCTCCAGAAAACGCCTCCAACGATGAATTCTTGTCTTTTTTAGAATGAAACATCAAGCGATATCAATTTTTTAGGTATTCAGGTACCCAAAAATGGACACAGTTAAAAATCAAACTTTTGACCCAAATATCGTGTTTTTGGAGACCCGTGACATGTCTTACCGCAGATTTATACATGACACTGCCAATTTTGAGACACTGATTATGAATTGACATTAGATATTTTCATCAGAACTTAAAATAAAAAATTCAATTCATCTCTGGCTGAGCCTATGGCTGATGAGTTACCACATATCCTATCTTTTGTCGGGAGGAGTCAAGTTGTTTTGTTGGACATGGTGAAATGAAACTGTCACTGAGTGCAAACTGCTGCAAAGGTAAAAACACGTGCTTTATTTCAACTTTCAATTTTCTGAGAGACGAGCGACTGATGGTCAGCTGATTTCAGGTTTGGAGGACACTTGGGCTAAACAAAAGGAGTACTCCCAGTGTAAAATTTATCCAAACTGGGCAGAAGGTGTAAAAACCTGTGTGCAAAGACTGTACGCTAGACAGTAGGCTACAAAAAACAGAATGAGTCAATTGTCACAACGCCAGAAACAGGTACTACTATGCTTTTCCAAAGTGGGCTACAGAATTTACCCTGAGATTCCAGCAGCAAAAGGTATCATTCACAGACTTGATCCGGACACTCCATCATCAACGGGTACTGGTATCATTCATGCTTTTTTCAAGAGGGCTACAGACTTTACCCTGATAGTAGTGATACTCGGTGAGAAATAGGTATTATTTTATGTAATATTAAGAGTTTACCGTGACGACACTCTATCTACAGATGTCAATAAGCTTTAACCTTCCTATTGTGTCAGCCTCATTACAAGTTTACCCATGCGGGTATCAGAGTTTACTCTGAATACTGAAACGACACCAGTCAGTTCAACAACAAATTAGAACTTGAGAAACCAGGAAATGATTATAACATTTAATGTTAAAAACTTGAAACAAATGAATGAGAACAGAAAACACACCAAATGCAAAACGCATACTCTAAATCCAGTAATCAGAGGCTCGTTACTAACATGCACACACTCCAAAACACATCATCAGTCCATCCGCTCAGTCATCATCATTCCATCTGATGAGTCATAACCATTTGGTCGCTTTTAAGGACAAGCGGGCTAACCCAGATTTTGGGGGTTTCCAGAAATAGACCTACATCAAAAGTGGGCATTGCCCTACCTATGGGAGGAGAAGTTTGGTTTCATTGGTGTGTATATTTGTTTGGTTATAGAGAAAACTCTCCTTGTCTTTTAAAGAGACTGAATAAGAATCCAAAAACTTTAACTTAAATTTTTTCAAAACAGCATTTTTCGGGATAGCCCACTTGAGCTTAAAAGCAACCATTCCATCTGGTGAGTCATCATCAGTCCATCTGCTGAGTCATCATCAGTCCATCCGCTTAGTCATCATCATCTGGTCAGTCACCTTAGGACCACTCACTTCACCCTCGGCGCCATCAGTCCATCTGTAGCGTGGAGCGTAGCCTCTTCGTGACCAGCGTCTGGTCAATGAGAACCTCACTGTGTCCACTAGTCGGGTCCATGGCTGTGCCCGTCACTCGGTGGACTTTGGGGTCCGTGGGGTCCACATGCACATTCAGACGGGCTTTGCAGCCCCCCGGCCATACGTCACGCTGAGGAACATTTGTCAGAGGTATAGAGAAGCACAGCAGAGCAAGAAAAAGCAAAATTGACTGATCAAAAATTGGGAAGACAGCATCAAGACATAAATGCCTGGCACCTCTGTAAATATATTATAAATAGGTACCGGTAATAGGGAGTGCATACAAGACCTCCCTATTTAACTCTGTCGAACTTATTGTTCGTTCAAATTAATGCCATGAGTTTCCTTAGTTACTGACTAAAAAAAAGAGAGCAGACAGGAGTACTTTTGAAAAAACACATTGTAGCAGCCTGAAAGACAATGGGCAATAAACTCTAGAAGGAAATCAGGACACAGAGAAATCAGCTGAACTTTGCGTTGAAACATCTACAGTTGACATTCTCTGTGATCTAGCAAGAAGATATGGTATCATATTCATAAGTCCAGCTATGTCATAGTTCAAGAAAATCTCACTTCAACCTTTTAAAATAAAAACCAACACAAATATAGTGGAGTCTGCTAACAGTAAACCGAAAGAAAATGAAATCCCTGAATTTTTTCTTCTATTTGACAGCTCCTCTAAACCGAAGAAAATCCGATGTTCCCCAGATTTCAGTTTCAGCAGACTCCAACATACAAGTGCGTGGCACTTACTGGAATGTAGAATCTGTGCAGACCAAATGAAGACTTCTTTCGCAATTTGTTACCTGATGAAAACAAAATTTAATTCAGTGGATTGGCAAGAAATCTTGAACCCTCTAAAGTTGTAAAATGTATACAATGAGCTCCCCGAAACAAAACCAAAAACTACAGCCCTCTAGTCCCATAACCCTAGACCAGCATTTTTCTGCAATCAGAAAGTTTTGCTAGAGTTCATGTGAGCTGAAGAGAATGAGAGTACACAAACATAATGTTGGTTAGTCATATATAGGTCCAAAGAAAGATGGAGTCATTTGGCAAAATGAGTGTGCCTGTGTGTGTGTGTGTGTGTGTGTGTGTGTGTGTGTGTGTGTGTATATGTATGTGTGTGTGTCTCTGTGTGTGTATATGTACAAGCGCTAGAGTGTGTGAATGCACAAGATGAGTTTGTGACAAGTAAGAAGAAAGGCTTTCAAACATTTGGCAGGTATTTAGACAGATATGCTCGGCTATAACAATGGTCCAACCATCAACAAAATCCAAAACCAAATAGACAAGAAAGCACAACAAAGAAAATGAAGCAAAACATCCAACATGACGATTGCATCTATGCGCCCATGATAGGCCTAAATTGATTGTGTACACATTTTATGATGACTTTTAACCCTGTGTACAGGGGAGGGAGGGGGAAAGCTGGATGCACTTTGGTGTTGATGTGAATCCAGTCAATACCTTAGCGTGACCTTGAACTGGCATCAAATCAGATTGTCTCTCTTTGGAGTAGTGAGACTTGTAAAGGGAATAAATGAAAGAAAAAAAAGCACTAGGCGCAGTATCTACCGCAGATTGATGTGAATTCTTTTTTGTATGTGGTAACCATTTGAATACAAATAGTTGTAAAACACACAAAGCATGATGTAGACTTTGTAGAGTATCAGTGTAAATGCCGTTAAAATTACCATTACCTAAGCATGTCAAATTCCATTTAATCAACCTCCATGAGACTAAGATACTAACAAAAGGAATATACGGATGAGAGAAAAAATCTCCGTAAAAGAAAGGAGCAACAAGTGATAAATTGATAGTGGGTGATCTATGTCATGAAAATGATCCCATAGTTAAATAATCATTTGTGAGAGTGTAGGCAAATTTGATGCACATCTAGAACAGGATTTGGCAATAACAGGGGTATCATGTCAGTCCCAGCAGTCCTGCTATAGCCAGGCTCACCGTGTCATCATACAACTGTAATGTGATTGTGACTAGAGTTGTTCATGACATTTGCTGCAGTCTTTTTTTCACAGTAAATTTCCCCCCTCCTAAAAAGACTAGTAAGACAATGAAATTAGTGAGACATTTGCACCAGATTAGTTGCTACAAACAGTCCCACAGCATCACTCTCAGACTAGCCTACAAGGCTTCACTCGTTCTCTCACCTGTGCCACCTCCAAGTAGCTCTTCCTCTGGACGAAGGTCAAGGGTCAAGCAGTGCTCTGCTCCCAACTGCTGAACAGTAACTCCATCCCCAAGATCCAGTGACCGTGACCTTGCCTCAGCTCCTCGTCTACCAAAAGTTTTTTTACTCCTCTTTCCAGAGCCATCCGAGCCAGGTACTTCCAGAGAACATTTCCCTGAGGAAACTCCGACAGACGTGAATCTGTGGCGATTGCTTGTTTCATCTTTGCGTGCAGCTCCATCCACGCCTCCTGGCTCTGACATCTTCAGGCTCTCACTAGCAATACCTTCACCGATGTCCTTGACGGAGCCCCATCCAGCATCCACTCTGTCCTTGTGGCTTGAGCTGACGGCATTAGCAGCTGCTGCAGACACAGTTTCCCTACAAATGCCACTCTTCCACAGCGGCCTGTCAGGTGTTTTCTGCACTGGCTTTGTGGCTGGGTTCTCAGGTGTTTCCCTCAAACCCCTACCATAACCCTCCCCGAGTCTGTGATTGGCTATCCACATTCGGACAGAAGACTCTTTCGCTTCTTCCACGCAGCTCTCATTCTGACGGTGTCTAACAATTTGGCTCTGTCTGCGCTTGTCTAACTGAGACAGGAGGGTCTTCTCCAGAGTGTCCCTAAAGTTAGAGCTCTCCTGTGAGTACTCTTCTCGACTGTTGGGAGATTTCCTCAGAGAAGAACGCGGCTTGGCCACAGGACCTTGTCTGGAAGATGACCTTGACTTGTCTGGCCTTTCCAATACACTGGGGATAAGATAGAGATAAGTTAAGATAAGATAAATCTTTATTGCCCAGACACTAGCAGATTGGTTTGGTGTTTCACCACACTCGCACACATACAAAACCACACATCTGCACACATACACATACAAGCAAACACAAAAACTCTCTCACACACCCTCCGAAATGAGTGATCAATTATTAACAAAAATAATGTTTAAGCTTGGAACATAATCAGCATTCTGACAGTATTTCAATTGTATTTTAATAGAGTCCATTTGAAATTCTGACCCAATGCCAAAATCATAGACATTTATAAATATTCATAGCTTTACATTGCTTTTAAAAAGAATTTAGCGTACATCAAAACAAATCTCCCTCTTTTCACAATCTATAACCCAAAACATTTGGGAGCACAGAACCTCTCAACCATATATGAAAGCAATCACTTTTAGGCTATGTAGAAATTTAACAAGCACTGTGTCATCTTAAATGAACAAATAAATTTGTGGTTCGTTAAAAATAAATTCACAAGAGGCAACTATCATTTTAGTCACAGTCAAAGACAGAAAACGTGAGACAATAAAACAACTAAAGGCTGCAGATGGCAGTACTTTTCTTGTGAAAAATTACTTTAAACTGTGGTGCTGACACATAATTTTGACGAATGAGATTAGACGAATTTGAGTATGCCCAGCTGCTACAGCACTTTCAGTATGACAACTATCATAACAGGATATATGTTCTAGGCTTTAAAATAAGTACATACAATTGTAAACAAATTCCGAGAGAGAGAGAGAGAGAGAGAGAGGGGGGGGGTCCCCCACTGACCTTGGCTGGGGTTCTTTGCTGCTGCTTGAGTTATCCGCGAGACTTTTCCTGTGTCCATGATAGACAACAGAGGAGTGGAAACTTCTTCTTCTCCTCTCTGACTTTGTCTCTTCATCAGATAACTCATCTTTCCTCTCGTCTTCAGCGTCGAGATCCTGGAAAGTCTCCAGATTTGTACAATCTTGGGGAACTTTAATACCTTTACAGGGATCCTTTTTCTCTGAGTAAAGAGAGCAGCTTTGACCTTTCAGATTTTTCCTTAAACATCTGTCCCTGGGTCTGGGCACTGTCTGCTGTACATCACGTGAGGACATAAGCTTCTGGCTCCTTTTACTGGCAGAAAACTTTGTCGAAAGTTTGTCCTTGACCTGTCGTCCATTTTTACTGTTTCTGTGTGTGGCAGCAGTGGTACTGGCCAGCACAATACTCTCATCACCGTCAAAAGTCGTTTTAGACATTGGTGAATATTTTCTACATGAGTCCTCCAAATGACATATTTCTGTGTGTAAGGGCTCCATCTCATCAGGATAAATCCCACTGCCTTGATTGTCAGTATAGCTTCTCTTATCACTCATTTGGAATTCCATCATCCCAACATAACTAGAAGTAGAAGACAACATGTTTGTAGTGTCTAGTGTACCATCTTTGAAATTTGATTCTTCATCACTGCTTACGACATACTTAAGGCGCCTTCGTCTTCGCAAGATCTTGCTTTGAATACGTTTTAAGTTCTTTTTAATCCACATATCGCTGTCTGTAGATTCCGAGTCCTCCCTCTCCACCTCTCTATTTGCACTATGAGTTGACAATGAAGTTTGTTGGGGCACGCCCACGCATCTGTCCTGTCCAATGTTCTCAGTCTGGGTCTGACTTGTAACTGTCATGGCACCTGTACCTCTGTTCCTCTCTGACACTTCGGCACACCTCACAGAGTCTGACCTTGACCTGTCAACACTTGACTTCAGCTCCGCAACACCCGACCTTGACCTTTCAAAACTTGTCTCTAACCTTTCAATACCTGACCTTGACCTCTCAATACTTGTCTTCAAACTGTTAACACCTGTTCCTAACCTCTCAACACCTGACTTTGACCTTTCAACACCTGATCTTGACTTGGCAGCAGAAGATACAGCCAGTTCAGGGCCATTTCCACCTAGGCCTTTCTCTACAGTGCTCCCTTCCCTGGCGTTACTTAGGTCAACATCTGCCACCAAATGACCACACAGTGTATCATCATCTTCCTCTCCGATTTTGCTATCTTTCTCAAGCATGACCTTTGCCTGATCCTCTCTCCACTCGGCTGCTGAGCTAATACTCAAATCAGGGTCACTGACCCCCACCCTCGATCCCAGTAGGTTGCAAATCCCGTTCCCTAATGGAAACAAGTTTGCTGTCTTCCCATCCATGCTGTTATGGCTCTCAGAGATGTTTTGGTTATCCCCAGTACTGATAATACTGTAGAGACATTCAACGCTAGCACATTGCATCTCAACACTTCCTGGACTCGGCTTCCCTCTGTTCAAGTTGATGTCAGTCGCAACTTTTTGTCTCACTCTCGACCCTGACGGTGGTTTGCCAGTTTGGTGTTTGACATCACACCGCCCCGAATCACCTTTGGCACTTTTGTCTGAGCTGGGGACTCCTGACCAGCTGGTGTAGATTCGGGTGGAGCGGTTGCTGTCCACAGCAGCCTCCGCATCGCCACCGGCCTCAGGTGGCATACACATGAAGCTGTCAAAGTCATCATCAATGTAGAACTCCTGGAACTCAAAGTCACACCCATCAAGCTGAAAAGAAAATGGGGACATTATTGATTAATGCCAAAGTCTTCTTCCTCTTTTGTGTTCTCAGCCAAACCTCAAGGGAAGTCAACCGTAGGTTCTTCAGCCTCAAGTGCCACACATGTGACATATTTTCCAATTAGAACAAGGTCTCTCCCACCTTTCAGAAGCCATAAGTCATTTTCATAGGTACTCTAATCCCTTTTCACTAATCAGTTTATTCAGTCTTTGGTACGGAACTTTGCTAGAGCAGTGAGCCCTAACAGGACACCTCTTCTTCCCCTTTCAAAGGACAAAGTGCGTGTCCTTATCATTAATACAGCAGCCCTACAGCTTGTAATATTTGCTCTAATGCAACGTAAACAAAGTCTCTTAACCCCTTCGCTGCCGTGTCCGTAGAATTTACGGGCCTGAACCATGTAGTGCTGTGCCTTTGGCCTGTAGGATTTACAGGACTGTGACAGAGGTTGTTTTGATACCAATTATATGGGAAGTTACTGCTGAAATCTTGTAATTATTATTGAGGCACCTTCCTTATATATTTTCCTTCATTTTTTCCCCAATTTGAAAGCGTCAGATTCAGATTTTAGCTCGAAGAGATTAGATCTAGATCCAACACATCTACCACACAATATTGATTTACAGGGAGTAAACACAGATGGGCGTTGTGTAAGGTAAGAAAAGCCTCTTGTCGTTTCCTCTTTAGCTGCAAACACACAATTTGTATTCCCCTTTTTTAGGTCTCAGTTTATCATTTCTCGAATGCGTGTTGTTTATATTGTTCAGTGGTGTTGTTTTTTGCATAATGTTACTAACTCCAACTTTTCTCTATCTATCTCTCAATGAAATCCCCACAAAATGATATCAATAGAAACGTATTTTAAAGTACAAAGTACATGCAAAAATTCATGAGAAAATATTCATAAATTAAAAAGTTAAGGGCAGTAGAGTGGGGTCACTCCTGAACAGTCTTGGTTCATGGGATTTCCCCTGGAACAGGGGCCAATTTACCTGTGGCATTGAAGGGGTTAAACAAACACGTGCAATATATGCATATAAGGAAGCTCCAATTTGTGTCTTTATCCATGACGAAAAAGTGTGTGTTTTTTTAGTAGAGGTTTTACGGTGCTCGCAACTGCATAAAGTCATATTAGCGCCAAGGGATGGATGTCAACAGAGAAGTCCTTACAGGGAATCAGACTTATTCTGCTCACCTCTCTAGCTTCAACAGCACAAAGACTGTTTTGACTTTCAAGGTACCCCGGAAATAGCGGCTCACAAGAGTGACAAACATACAAAAGAAGTAGAGGAAAATGACAATAGTAAGGATTAGGAAAGAAAAAGCAGCAGCTCCCAGTTGTAGTCCAGGCACAGTTATGAGCATGACATTGTTGGATCAGCCCATTTACAATTCTACTGAGCATTAGAACAAGAAATGTCCCCCCTTTTGGGAATGGCCTAAAGACACTTCAGTCAGTGGATTCGCCCCAGGGGGTCGAAAAAGTGTAAGAGTGCAACGAGATAACAAAGGAAACCAACACCTCTCCTCTACACAAACAATCCCCATAAGGTAAAGTTAGGAAGAGAAACGACCTCAGACATCACATGTATATATATGAAGAGAGCATCAAGTGGAAGAAGGTTCTATTTTACAATTCTACAAATAAATATGTCTCTATACTTTATGCATATCACCAATGATACCAGAGTCCTCTAATTCACTCTTACTTTTAACATCAGAAATGAAGAAATGTAAGATTCAACATAGTGCAAATAATTTCACTGAAGCTCTAATGAATAGAAATTAACAATCAATGGATTTAAATCAATCACTCCCCCTTCAACATTAGATTCAAATTGATAACTTTATAGTTCCTTGCTTTCTCCACTCTACAAATATTTTTGCTTTCCTGATGCACATACTGTCAAGTCAGAATCAGAACAAATAATCTCAAACCCATATACAGTCACTTTCAGTCAGACACAGATAATACATAAACGTTAGGGATTGACAAATGTGTTCAAATTGGCAAATTGTCCAAGCTATTGATGATTTTGAGTTTTCTTGTTTGTTTCATCTGTGCCCAACTGTACTTATCCATGAGAAAATTCTTAAGATCCTGAACAAGATTTTTGGAAGTATAAGAATCTAAGGTCTATTCTTATAAATAGTCAGGCTTTCAAATAGATCAACGATGGAAGCAAAGGTCCATAGTCTAAGACAATGAGATACTTCTCATATTTATAAGAATATATGTAAAAAGAGCAAAAACTCCAGCTTTACAACAACAAAAACATAGAAAAGAACTGGTGGAGAACCAAACCACAATAAAAACTAAAACCAAATTTAACAGTGTGGTAGTTCACGAAACCGCCACCACAAATAGAACTGGTCACCTCAGGAACAGACTTGGCCGAGTTTATTTTCAATAGCTCACTGTCTCCTCCTCCAACAAGCTTTGTACAGGCCAGAATGTCTGAGTGATCCTCCGCAACAATCTCCGTCACATTTGAGTGTCCTCCGGGATTGACGGGCCCCACCTCTGACCCAACCACAGCGATAGACGGTGCTGAGGTGTCATCGCCCAGACCCACCGTGCTCACCAGTGACTGGAGCTCTTTTGACCCTGTACCCATCCAGCCAGAGACATATATCTCACATCAACTACAAGTCCTCTTTAACTCCATCTATGCCAGTACAGTACTGTTTTAATAAGAATTTTATGGCACTTGCAACAAAAGGTCATATAAGTGCTGAAGATTAATGCTATTACGAAAGAGTAACAAAAAGAAAAGGAGGAGAGATAAGGACAATATATGTTTGGTAGGAAAGAAGAAGCAAACCACAGAACAGAGTTTTGCTAAGCTTGGAGAGAAGCATATTAATGCAATAACAGTCAAAAGTGCAGAGTTAAAGAAAAAGCAAAGCAGACAAAACGGGAAAGAAAAGAAGTAGGACCTATCAGTGATGCATTCCAACTACTTGCAAGAAGAGACACTTTGAAACAAGAGAAGGAAGAGAATAAAATGACATAACATACAGTTTCTCTATTGTGCCAGTGAATTGAAGTACAACATAGAATGGGGTAAGTCAAAGCACAACACAGCAATACAACAATGGAAAGGAATAACATACACAAAAGTAGAACAGGAATGAGGAACACTTTGCAGACACCTTAACCAAACAATTTTAAGGACTCATTTTTGCAGAACAGAAAGATAAATAAAACGACTAAGCCCTTTCCTCAAACCAGTCTCTCCAACAAAAAGGGTAGGCTACTACAGTATAATCCGCTTATATCGACATGCTTTGGGAAGTGGATTTGATATCAATATAAGAAAATGTCGATAGATGAAAAATATAAAGCCAAAGAGGAAAAAACCCCAGGAGGTCAGCGGTAAAAGACAACATTACTTTTTTAAGCTGGTTGCTTCCCTTGATTTTTGAAATTAACAAGAGGCAGAGGGGCGGGGGGTTGGAGTTACGGTACCAAAGACCAAGCAGCGCGACGCACACACTACACAGCAGCGCAAACTTTGTAGTAGCATCCTTGTAAGGTCTGTTTATGGCCGCTTACTGGGGAAAATGGAAAGGCGAGGCACTGACTCGCTGACTGTGGCACTTGCCAGCTACAGTCTAGAGCTGGAGTCTGCTCGATTAATCGAAGGCTTGCGAGCAAGCGGACGGCTTGCGCCAGGGGCTTGCGAGCAGGCTTGTGCTTTGCCCGCTACTGGAGTTGCTGCTCGTGGACGGCGGACGGACTTGCTGATTTGTGTCGTGGCGTCACAAACTCTAGTTTACAGAGCGCGCGACACTTCTGCCCGCGTGCTTCACGCTGAAAAGGTGGTTGTTTGTTTTTCTGTTGCTTTTTTTTGGGGGGGGGGGGAGGATAAAGTTTTTCATTATTAATTTTCTTGGCGTAATTTGAGATTATACATAGATATACATATATATATATATATATATATATATATATATATATATATATATATATATATGTATGTATATATATATATATATGTATGTATATATATATATATATATATGTATATATATATATATACCAAGGACTACTATACTCAAGGACGTGCACCGTCGGATTCCTGACTTGGCTAGCGAAGGCCATCATATAAACATGTCCAACTTATCACTAGGCACAAGATACATTTCATATTGAGTGTGAGAAAGCTAAAACCTGTTGTAATGTTGTTGAACGCAATATTGTAGCATAGTAATACATGTTATTTCTATATTATTGTTATGTCAAGCAGAAATATTAGTCTGAAAAGCATTTTAAAAATGTTTACAAATACAGCAACAAGAATTAGGCTTACTCACCAAGTGAATCGGCCTTACGTGCCTTCTTGATGGATGTCTGTAGCAGGGCTGCATTCTTTTGGTGATCCTTCTCTAGATTGTGCACACCGTGGAGTAAGACATTTGCGAGATGACGGAGCAGTTTCTTGGACTGAACGATGTCGAAATCGTTAAATTCCCCCATGGTTGATAGAATTCCAACAAGTCTCTGACGACAACAAACTCTATTTTTTGCTTCCTTTACAAAGGAAAGTCCAATCCTAGTCAGTTCATACGTAGACATATGGGGGGTTCACAATGCCTCCTGTCTTTTCTACTAGAGCCGTAGCCTCCTTCACAGCCTCGAATTGAAATGATGCTGTAAGTTTATGTACTGGTATCACTGACATCATAATCCTAGGTCCACCATGCAAGCATTTGACCATGATACATAACATGGATGTCGCTCTAGAATCCGGTTCATTTTTGGCCATGCCGCCGAGGACACCACCAGAGAAAGCTACAGTGGGTCGGATCTTTACCTCGTCGATCAATAAAAACACATTCTTTTGTTGAGGTGTTTTAAGTTTTTGAAATGTTTTTAAAAAAACACTTTCAATCTCTAAGGAGGAAACAACATACTTTATTTTTCTTGTACTTGGCTAGACCAAAGTGTCTCTTAATTGTTCATAACTGCAGCGGGGAAACGATTCGATAGCGAAACAGTAATCACTTACAGAAAATTGTTTGTGAGTCAACAGTTTCAGCTGATGAGTTATAAAGTCTAGCTTTCTTTCCCTTTTCTTTTCCTGAATAAAAGAACAAAATAATAGAAAGCTTCTAGTTTACTGGACCACTAGGCAATTACAAATTACAAGAAATCAAGATCTTAACTTTACCTTAGTTTACTCTAGTCCTTCAAAATTTGTTGATTAGATCTAGATCTAGATTTACCAATTGTAAACATCAACTGTCTAGGTACGAGATTTTATCGGTAGTAAAATGAAAAAATAATCCTTTTTTAAAAATAAACCACTGGATTATATGTACTGCAAAGCAAGGATCGACATTACTTTTTATTATTTTTTAAAACTTAATCCTACACTACTGGTGCGGTATACTAGGCTCTTACCTTTGGGTCTTCAAGTTCTGTGCAACACGATTGTTCCAATACTTCCACAACTCTCTCAAGCACAACATCCAAAGGAACTTTATAGTTTATTGCGACGTGCACACACTAAAAAAATTGGGTGTAGGAATTCAAGCCGTTATTTGGATTTAATATTTTTCCCAAGGGAACTCTGGATCCTTTCTTGAATGCGGTGAGTGTAAGAGGGGAGCACAATGTTGGTTTATTCTCAACAACTACTGATAAAACACACTCTTCACAATGCTCAGTCATAAACAGGCAAACAAATCTGTCCTCTGTTCTTGAAAGAATTAAATTGTCATATTTCTTGTGGAGTTCCTTTTCTGGAGAAAATTCTGAAAGGCTACAGATTTTGCCTTTTTTCATGAAATGACGCAGTTGCTGATCTTCTTGTTTTGGATGGACGAGGGGGTGGTTTTGGCGTTGGTAGGCAAGACGAGGGAACATCAAATAAACTCGGCGGATCTACTGGTCGAGTGTATCCTCCAGGTAATTTAATCACAGGATAATCTGATGGCCAATGCCTTTCACAGATAAGTTTTCACGAGGGGGTAAAACAGAAAGCCATCTTTGTCCCTCAAGTCCTTCTTTTGGTACCTTGAACACGCGACATTTATTGTCTTTATTCTAGTTACCTTGCAGTTTACAACCCCACATTTATTCGGCATGGTGAAATCAAACTATCCTTGCGCATAGACGGGCCGATTAATTCACAATAATCCACAGAATTAACAAAAACTCTCAGAGAAACATGAGGAGAGGAACAACATTTGACATTAAATCGTATACATTGATCACTGCACTTCTTTCCGGAAGGATGCGCTTACGCGGATAAATGGTGTCCATAATTATGCTTACATTTCTTTGCTTGGAATCTTAATCAAAAATAAAAATATTGACACCTTTCAATATCTGATTCATTTCTGCATAATTTTTATTAAGATCAACGAATTTTACAGATAGGATTCACTCTACTTCAAAGGAGATAAATAGTCCCCGATTCCTACGAACGAGTCAAAGCTAAAGATAAGGCACTGAGTCAGTATGGAAATATCCGGAGTGTTTGGCTCGATGGCCTTCGCTAGCCAAGTCAGGAATCCGACTGTGCACGTCCTTGAGTATAGTAGTCCTTGATATATACATAAAATCAGTTATAGTGCAGCAAAAATTCTTTTTTATAAGTTATACAATGTAATTAACAATGTGAGAAAAAGTGTTCTTTGCACGGCGCATGAAATCAGCCGAAATCGCGCCTTTTAGTTGTACCGCGGCTCCTGCTGCCCGGCGGTGATTTATCACCTCGCCCGGTACCTGTTGACCTTTTTTATTGGGGTCATTTGACCCCGTCCCACCGTTATAAACTGGGGTGCGTTCTTGATCAAATTGTCTCATTTACTGTCTAAATTACAGTGGTGCCGTAAGACCCACCAAGTAGTTTTAATTTATTATAGACTTTAGCAACACCATTTCTCAACCTGTAAAAGAAAGTCCCAGTCTTCTACGTGTTATACCAAGTGTTTTACACGTGTCTGTTTGCTGCCTGTGTAACACGCTTTTCTTATTTCAAACTGAGGATAAATAACCATTTATTACAACAAAACGGTGCATTGAATTTTTGGGGGGATTCGATTTGTGAGTTCATTAATAAATCATGTTTTGAGTGTATAAATTTCAGTACTACCGCAGTTATGGTTGTTAGGCTACATCGGATTATTATGTTGGGCCCCCGAATTTACTAACGTTATTGCCGTATACAACGAAGACCTTAAAATGGAGCACACCCCTGAAAGTCATGTATCCGCTTTAAACTGTCTGTGTAGAGTGTGCGGAAGACTGAACATTACAGGAAAGCAAAGAAAATCCTTTAAAAAGCCGTATTTGTGTTCGGAAATAGCCAGTGACCTCTTCCTTGTGTTTGGGTTGAGTATCAAAGATGACGCTAGTGATAAACACTCCAAATTTGTGTGTTTGAAATGCTATAAAACAATCCATGACGCTAAACTTCGAAATAGTGCAGTGTCCCTACAAACACTAAGAAACACTTTTGACAGCAGTCAACACATCTGGTGTGTTTACAATGAAAACTGTGATGCAAAAACATGCAGTCTGTGAACAGAAAAAGCTGCTCTCTCTTGGCTGTGCAACAGTAAAGCCCCGTGACCCCCAGTCTCACTCCAGCAGCATGAAAAATACACACACCAAGCTAGTCCTAGCACCAACATTTCTGAGACAGACACAACCACACAGAGTACATGTACCCGTGCTCTCAGCACAGACTCAACACAACAAAACGACCCACACACAAGTACAAGTCAGACTTTCCACCCCCACCCTCAGTCTGTTGTCCCAGTCAGTGACCAACACGTAGGTGTACAACATGCAGACACAATGGTTCAGGACCATAGAGTTACCCCCTTTTAAACATATAGTGTACATCTATGTTCAGGACAGTCACATCGTAGCTCACACCGACACAATCAGTCAGAGCACATCGGTCACAAATTCTCCCATACCGCATGATAGCAGTTGTGAGCACAGCGTAAGCACTGTCCGTGTTTCTCCATCATCATCATTCACACCCACTAAAGGCCAAACATTTTCTGCGACTCCCTTGGCTTCATCAACTCCAGCCCAGATACATGAAACAGTTAGGCCTACCCAAGACAGCACAACATCTCCCATGATCAAAGACATAGAAACCATCAGCCATGCAATGAGTAAGGCAGAGACGCATCCACTCACTAAAAAAGAAGAACAATTAACAACAAGACTTATAAAGAGAATAAAACCTATAGCCTACGCCGTGATTTGTATGGAGTTATTGTCTTCCAAGTGAGGGAAATATGTGGATATATATTTACGACAATGTGATGCATAGATGAACCATTTTGAGGTCACACAAACTGCGGTAGCAGTGAAATTTGGTGAGTAGATACCTTATGTGTTACGTTTGTGTCCCTTAAAGATGAACTAATCCTGACGCTCAGTTTTCTAATTATCGTCGTTCATTACATCATAACTAGAAACGATATCGGGAATCAGACATGACTATCTTGCACTGTCTGTTACAACTAAACAGACCAATGCTGATTCTCTTTGTTTTTGAAATATCATGAAAAAGACTTGGAACTACTGATGCCCGCATGCAGTGATGTCTTTAAGTCAATGTTATTGCGTTAATTAGGGCTCAATTCAGAATGTAAAATACGATTTTCTAAACCTCCCGCGCGGTCACGCTGACCAAAGAATGCCCACGCGATGACACTGTTCACCGTCACAGGTCAGCGCGCCACTGGTTACCTGAGTTCTCAACTAAAGTATCCTGTTTCTGTGCGCCGTGTTTGGAACACTCCTGGATGCTACACCCCGAAAAATTGAAAATGGACCGCTCATGTATGAATGACACAAAGGCCAGTTTCAGTTACCTAATGAGCAGAGCATCCCTATTGTTACATATTATTCTTCATAACATTGCGTGTTTGGGTATTCCACTCTCACTCAGCTGAGCATGGATGGGAAGTTAAAAATAGCCCATACATGTCTCATCTTCTTGACTTCTTGCGGCGGATTGTCATCCCCACCCCAATTCATTCTCTTCAACTTCGACTTGTTGTAAGTGTCGGGGTGGGAGTGGGAGTGTAGTTTAGGCGAGTGATTAAATTAAAAGCCATGGGATGCTGACGATTTCCTTTGTCAGTTAAAATTGTTTGTAAGTTCCCGCCTTTATTCAGCGCCCTTAATAGTTTAGCATACCGCGACCCCAGTACTTTCTTGTCGAATCTCCATTTTTAATACCAGTGAAAACAGTTCATTTCAAAATGTGAGCCTAAGAAGATGTCACATTTTCACTGTTATAGCACTGAGGTCGCAAACAGTCTGGACTAAGCTATTACAGCCCTCTTCGTCTTGCACCAAAACCAGCGCTGCCTCTCGCTTCCTTCACAGTCCAGAGTTCAGAGTTCACACTGCAAGCGGGGTGGATTACCGCCTCTACCAGTCTTGCTGCTTGCGAGCGGTGTTGCCCTGCAAACGCAATAGTGGGGCACAGGTGGCTTGCTAGGTTGCGAGCAAGCAAGTGTCTTGTGTTGCGGACGGGATTTGAGACTTGACGGCCGTCCGCTGCAAGCAAGCCTTCGATTAATCGAGCAGACTCCAGCTTTAACGCCGCGCAGTGACACTGAGCGGGGTCTATCTCTCTCCCCCCACTCTCTCTTTCTGACGTAAATGGCTTCGCGGATTGCAAGCAGGTAGGAGAGGATGAGCGGGTCTGACTCGAGTGGCTTCGCGGATTGCTAGTGGGTGTGAATTGTGGACTAGGCTAAGGCTAGACTCAACTTATCATGCTGATGATTTGGTTTGATGATTTGACCTAGTGATTTGAGGCTTGTGACTTGAACTAGGGGCTTGCGAGCACGAGCAGGTTTGCTACCAGGGTACAGCTCTACAACATACTGAGAATGGGATGGGGAACGGGAGTGATCTGGGAGTGAGCGATCGGGAGCCGGGGTAGGGAAGTGATGCCCAGTGCGTGAGACGCTCACGTCTGAGAGGCGCTGTACTGTGTTGGAGACTACACTGTGTAGGCCCTACATGACCCACTAAAGCCTGGTGTGTCGATATAGGCTACTTGGCAGGTATGCGGACTTAATGAAGAACTAATGCGTTGACCGCTTTTTCCCCTATTTATGTTCGTGGGCTTCGCCAGGTACCCAGGAAGCATGTTGATAAAGCAGAGTGGACCGAAAAAAAGTTGATATAAGAAAAATTGTTTAGTGAAGATTTTGAAGGAAAAATTTTGTAACTGGAAACTATGTTGATATGTCAAAATGTTGATAAATCAGACGTCAATATAAGTAGATTATACTGTATGTGAATCAATACAAAAATTAGGTGAAGTCTCCACACCCTAGTTGTAAACCTTTCTTTTGGTAAAGTCAAATTGTCAGCACATACGAAGCCACATAACTGTCTTCCTACCTGAGGGTGGAGGTGCTATTTTCATCTTGTGTTCTATCCTGGCCAGCTTATCGTCAACCCAACGCTCAATGACCTCCAGGTCCTCAGTATTGACCAGGTGTTTTGCTGGGTCTGCAACAGAAAACACAATGAGCACTGATTTGATTCTTGAGCAGCCAAGACCCACAATCAACTAGTCCGATCTGCAGGTCAGTTCAGTTTGGAAAACAAGGCTTGCTAGATAGAATGAACTGTGACGTCAGAAAGGTGTGGTCCACAGCAAATCACCAAGAACAAATTTGTACAATAACAGAGGTCTTATTCATTGATTTCTGTGTACATGTCTGTATCTATGATGTATAATGAGTGCATTTATAGAACCCCAGGTTTCTCTCCTTTTTCAAACCCCTCCCCCCTGCCCATTAGACTTCAGGTCACCATTTACCATTTTCAAAGGCACTCTTTGACCAGATTGACTTAAGTTTTGAGTGACATTTGTTTTGACATTTTTATTGTTACAGGGATGACAGAGACTTTGCAAGTGGAACATTCTAATCTCAACTTCAAACATGGGTCTATGGTCTACATACTGCTTCTGAATTCTAACAACCACTGACCTTCTCCACTGGGGGCAATCTGTTTGGATGGTCCTTCATCTCTCTCAGCCACAGTGAAGGTTTTGTCCAAAATGTCATCGTCATTACCTTCCTCACCCATACTGAAAGTGCTATCCAGAACTTTCTCCTCATGACCTTTTTGGGCATCTCCAAGAAATACCAAGCTGCTTGTCAGAGTAGAACATTGAGAAGACATCTGAGTGTGTGTGAGATCATTCGGAGAGGACTCTTCTGTCAGATGAGACTGAGACCACTGCCTGTCAGCGCGAGGTTCAGGGGCATTCTTTGAATCTTCACTACATTTTTCAGAAGAATCCCTTGCCTTTGCAATAGTGCTTTGTGACATTTTACAATCAATCACCACTCCTTCAGGAAACTTAGCAGATATCTCATACACACATTCTGTTTTCTCAGATTCACCTCCAAAGTTTCCTGCTTTGTCTTTTATGGGGATACATTGTACATTATGTGTAACATTCCAAAAGGAGTCATTTTCATCAGTTCCAGAAGGTTCCAGAAGATGATCAGGGGGCAGCTCAACACAAGCATCCCTGACACTGGACTTGGGGGAGATTTGCGGAGAGGAGTTTCCACATACAGGTGGAATTATCTCTCCAACAACCCTGTTCTGCTCATGTTCCTCATGATCATATACTGCGTGCACTTCAACCGTTGGAGACTCATACTGGACACCAGGAGTCCCTCCACTTTCTGTCAGGACAACCTTACGACGAAGGAAGCTTGTCTGAGCACATTTCATTTCTTGTAAGAAAACATCAGAGCTCATAAAACAGTCTTGGTTGATCAGTGGTGTTGTGGCAACCTAAAACAATGAAAATATTCCAATCCAATAAAGTATTTGTGTGTGTGGGGTAGTGGGTTGTTGTTGTTGTTTTTTTGGGGAGGGGAGGGTAGTGTGTGTGTGTGTGCACCCGCGTTTTTGAGAGAGAGAGAGAGAGAGAGAGGGAGAGGGAGAGGGAGAGGGAGGGAGGGAGGGAGGGAGAGAGAGAGGGAGGGAGGGAGGGAGAGAGAGAGAGAGAGAGAGAGAGAGAGAGAGAGAGAGAGAGAGAGAGAGAGAGAGAGAGAGAGAGTGTGTGTGTGTGTGTGTGTGTAATTGAATGAGAATGAAGGGGTGTGTATGTGTTATTTCATGCACCAGGCAAAGATTAATTTTCACTGCTTGTACTGTATTATTAATTATTATTAATTTGTACTTGCATTTATGTAAAGCCCCTAGAGCTGTGTTCACAGAGGAGTAGGCACTATAAAATACATCTGCATTATTATCATATGTGAGGCAGCATGGTGGAATCAAGCTCTAGTCAAAATACTAAAAGTGAAGAAACCTGAATTTTTCTGCAGGTTTGTGAATTTTTATCAAATTTTTGTTTTTTGGCTCAACACTTTTCATGCTCATTAAAGAACTCATTTCGGTATGGATTTTTCTGAAAAACATTGAATAAAGGCACAAAAAAGTAAATTTTCAGGTACCACGGACTCTTAAGCTGAGGTAATAACTAATCTTTGGCGGCCATTTTCTCACTAATTCTACCTCTGAAAACAGGTGACCCCAAGCTCCTTCAATTGCAAATATCTCGACTTACATTCAAGATAAATGGATATTTTTTTCATCCAAATAAAGACACGCGAAAAAACTTTAAGATGATACCAATAACTCTACATGCCCAAAAATTGACGAGAGCCTGATTCCACCACGCTGCCACACATGTACTATTACACGCATGGCAGAGAATTTCAAACTTGATATTTGAAACCAGTTTTATACAATTTTTACATTACAAAGGTCTCGCTCTTCTAAATCGAAACATGAAAGTGCCATTCTCTTTATGTCAAGCCGAAAGATACAAAGACTTACAAAGTTTGAAGTTGGAAATAAAAACAGAACAAACATAAGGATATTCTCAGCCATTGAAGTCAACACACTTTTTGATGATAAGTAATACAGTATTTAGCAGATAAAGATGGATGGAAACCTCCCTACAGATCTAATCAAGTTTATTAATGAGACCACACAAACAAATTTTGCAAGGACCCCTACCTGGCCAGGAGAGTTCTCCAGCAGTTGCCCTTTCCCCATCAACCAGTTTTTCTCCCCCCGCTTCTCGGTGAGTTCAGGTGTCTGTAACTTTGACTCACTGGAATCATTCACGTCAGCAGAGCCTGTGCCTACATCTCGGAGAACTTTATGACAAGGGCCAATGTCAGATGGGCAAAATTCATTATGTTTGGCTTGAAGCAACATAGGCAGTCTGCCAGTCTGGCTACCTGACTTGGGAGTGCTGCTGTCAATACACGTTGGTGTGAGGCTGGTACTAACCTCATACAAGGCACCCGGACACACCACATCCCTCGTGGGCCCAACATCTGTCAGGTGAAAATAAGGAAACAGTCAACTAACAATGATTCTAAAATGAACTTGGTTGATACAAATGATATTAACCATATCAAATTGACCAGGCTCTGCATCGGCAACATCAAGTGATATGACATTAAAAAAGCCATAAAAGTGTCGTAGAATTATACAGATGAGAAGAGAATGTCAAAGAAGAAAACAGGAAGAGGATGTCAGTAGCTGGTCGGGAGAAAGTATCCAAAACAGTACAAGTACTGGCAAATGACAAAGAGGAACAAGCAGAAAGGAAAACAGAAGTAACAAAATGGACAGTAAAGAAGTAGGATCCATCAGGTGCTCTGCAACTACCAACTTCAAGATTAACAATTCTACAGAAAATGCATTTTGCCAGCATCGGTTAAGATTAGATCAATAAAGTGGCATACTATTTCGACCCCGCTTACCAGGGGCCAATCCATGCTGCCTAGGATACAACCAATCAGAAAGTCATAAAATCATTACAAAATTATGTTTTTTCTCTACAAGGGAACGGAATGTATGTCCTTTAAACATTTCATTCTTTCATTCAGTTTAAAATGTGTTTGTAAAAATAATCTTACGAGGGCATTTTGTTTTAATCCTTAAAAGTACACATTTAATAATACTTGAGTCCTCCCCTTGAATTTTGCCTTAACAACTAGGTCACTTCAGCAAAGCCTGCAGACTTGAAATCAGTTCAAAGATCAGAACCTAATCTGACCTCCTTCAATATCAGGAGTCATAGAATATTTCCTACAATGTGACTGGTTGAAGCATTAATCTCAATTAAAATTAAGAAGTCAAATTTTCAGAGCTTGGGTCTTAAAATGTTCAGATTCACAAATCTGTGAAAGTGTGCATTCAGCCCATCTTCAGTGCAGTCGAACCTGTCCATAAGTCACCCAAGATCACAGAGAAAAGGGACTATTATAGACAAGTGATTGATATGGATATGGTCTAGATTTGGTCACTTACTTCACTTGTTAATTGTTTGTTTTGTCTTTTTGATTCTATGAGGACTATTGATTTTGAAAGACTCAAAGTCAACAAATTCTTTAAAATCTGAAACTTTGATCTCATCTTTTCATTTCACAACACACTCAGTCTGAGGGCAAGTTGGCGGAAAACTTTTGTAGCAAGTGACCACTATCAGCAGGTTTTGAGATACTCTCAAAAAAACAACCGAATGTGGTGGCATTGGACAGGGATTGCTATGGACAGGTTAACCCATTGCACCCAAACTACGGGTATATATTCGTAGGTGCCGCGCGCTTCTGTCCACCGAGCAACGACAATAGTCGTAGCAAAATACCAGTCCACAAAATCGAGTCCGAACCACTTATCCAGGTTTCTATTGAAAATAACAGATTGCTTGTAGCTTGCAAAAACTTTTGCTAGCTTGTTTTGATCCAGTTTTTTGCCAAGAACGAGTCAGTTTTGCTGTTTTGTCACCTCAAATCATGGCAAGAAAGCGAGCACTGATATCTTCACGGATGAGAAGACGAAAAAAAAGTCACAAAAACAACAGTGCCACGGTTATTTTTGTGTTTGCTAAAATACATTAACCATGTTTTTAGTTTTGTTTTAGGCATAAGCGGCATAGAAAGTGAAAGTTGACATAAATCTAGAAAAACAAGGCGATTGGATCGATTTTATTGCCTTGAAACCTTCTAACAAAAGCTAGATTTAGACCATAGATTTACAAGTTGCTATGGGTTAATCGAGAACCAATGAGTCGCAGTCGGTCGAAGAATATATTGTTTTCTCTGCACTTTCCTTCCTCTTTCTCTCTAATAATATCAAAAGAACATTTAAAGTAAAATCTAAGCAAAATTTCATATTGATACCTTAAATAGATTGGGCACAATGCGTGTCTAAGGTTAGCGGGTTGAGTTCAGACCGATTTTTTCCCCTGGCTTACAGCAAGCCAGGTGTACACAAGTGCACTGCCACGGCAAAGCAGAGTGAATTGGGTTAAAAATACAAGAATACAGTAAACACCTAAGGGTGCCATGGAACAGATACCCTAAGTATAGGTGACCACTATGGAGAGGTGGTCACTAAAGCAGTTTCGACTGGGCATATCACTATATTGCACTGGGTAGGAAGAAGTCCCCTGAGCAGTTTAATCTTTGACAATAACAATACTTATATGATATTACAGACAAGCTTTCACACAAATTCAAAGAAATCTTTTTAAGAGTGCCTGTTGTTCTATATACTTATCAACATTCTGTTACAACTGTAGAAAAATCAAGTGGCAGGAGTGACATTTGCAAAATGAAAGCTGTGCACCTTCATCAATGACCAATCCTCGATAAATTATTTTCCTTTTCTTATATATGCCAGAATGTTGTGAATGTATCAATAAATATCTTACCCTCATGTTTCTGGAAGTCACGTCCCAATCTAATGCCCTCCATTTTTTCCATTTCAAAAGACTGTAATGAAACAAAAACAGTGCCTGTTTACAAAGATATAATTTCTTTTACATTCTATGAGAATTATTTTTTTAATCTGCAATGGAGCAAAACAAATATCTAGTTTGCGCCAACTACCAGTTGGGAGCATAAAGAAAAGCAATTTTCTAACATCTAAAGACATTTTCAACTCATCTCTTCTGAGTTCAATCCAAATTTTGGGATAAAAATTTCCAGGTATGGGTGATCCTGTGCCTAAAATACATTTAAATTTAAAAGTTTCTAAACAACATGCATATAAGGAAAGCATCAAAGTATGTAAAAATGTTAATTTCGAATTCGATTTTCATAACCCCCCCACAATCTTTTAAAAAGTAAGATCCTCATCCTAGTTACTTTGTTCCACTGCCTTGTTCATTGTCACGACAGTGTTTCAACTAGTACATCCTTGTCACAGAGGAAACTTTTTTTCCCCTAAGGGCCCTTTAACAGCAGTGATAGAAGACTTTGAGGGTACCAAAACTTCTGGTTAATAAGCTGAAACTGCTGGTTAAAGGCACTTTATAAGGACGTTTATTATTCTGGAGAGCAGGGAGCATACATAACAAAGAAAATTCTATCTATAGATACCTTAGGTCTGTGCCCATGCCGCCAGGCTCCCAAACACTGAAATTTTAGGGCACCAAAAAGAAAACGTGCCTTTTTGCAATTTTAAAGTTTGGGCACATGCTAAAGACATATGTGACGTGTGCTGACAAAATGAGTTACTTCTCGGATTTCACCTTTATGGAAATTGATACATCAACTTGGTAGGTGAAGTTTGTACAATTTGTGAGCTTGGAATAGTAAAAGACATAGTAAACTTGAACAAAATGGCATCAATTGAAAATCTAAAAATCTGACCGCAGTGTTGATTTTCAGCCGACATCTCCATTCTGAGATCGTGAGAAGTAACTCATTTTGTCAGCACGCCTCACATATGTTACTAGCGAATATATATTATTTTTAAATTACCTCTGTATAACCAGTAATAAGCTGGCCTACATAGAGTAACAGTAACAGAATAGGCCCTGTACTTTGCCTTTATAGTGACATATTTGCATCTTGCACAATGATAAACTTTAAAAATCCAACAAACAAAACAAGCAAGCACCAAGCACACCTCGTCAGAGATATTGGTGTCTGGCTGCTTCCCACTCCGAGCCATGCTGCCTTTGAGGATGGCTTGTCGCAACTTGTGCTGGAATAGAAGTGATCACTTTGAT